CCCACCGTCAGTGAATGACCAATAACCAGTTTGACTCACCCAAGAATTAGTGAATGTCATTTTAAACGAGTTGTTGATATAGTCCAGTGACATTTGTAAAGATTATTCTTCAGTAACAAGAAGACTCTGACATCTCATCACTCAATTGTAGTGCCAGAGGTCACATTCTCTTTAACGAATCCACGATCACAATTGTCCCCTGTGTGACCTTAACGTGACAAAAGGTCGTTGTGTAATTAGCCAAGTGAGAGAAGTAATTTGAAATTGATATACTTATTAGAGGAAAATAAGGAGAGCGCTTGGTAACCTCCAACTGCATGTTATCATTAAATGCGTTGCCGTGAGTTACCATCGTAGAGTTGCACTTGTGTCCCATGACCTGCAAACAGAGCTTCTTAAATGATGTCTTCTTAAAATGTGATCTATTTTTTATCTGTCAATTTTAACTTTTTTTAATTTTCGTCTGTGAGATTATTTTTATTCAACGTTTTATATTGTTCTCTCGAATATTTAATCAATTGTTGATTTTTTTTTCCTCCCACCTGCGTATTTGCTATGGTCCGTAGTCACCCAGTAAATCATCCAGAAGTGTTTTGGTTTAGAGCACAGATGGCAACCATGGGTCTTTTTTTTTTACCTTCTTTTGTTTTTGTATATTTCAGAAAACCCAGCCAGCCATACCAAACCTGGAAATGAAATTTTTTTTTTAATCATTCTTACAAAAACAAATCTATTATTCAATAATTCCGGGCACAAAGGATCTCTACGTACTTGCAATCCCTACTTGGAAAATTATATAAATTTTCAACCGTAAAATTTGAAAAGGTGTAAAGATAAAATACTCAATGAGAGGTGAAGTACCTTTGTTCCGGTGCTATGTACTTGTCTGTTAAGCAGTTTTTTATTGAGCGTTTATGAGAGGAAACATCCATTGATCAGTAATCAGGCGTGTCCTGCTGTTATCTCTTTACATCTAGGAGTTTCGTCAATACGCACTTCACTGTCGAAACAATCATTATCAACTGCCGTACTTTCATTTTTTTTTCAAGCCAAGCACACACACACACGTGCAATTTAGGCACGATCGAATCAAAAACGATCCAGAACCTTGTTTTGTCAATGTTCATCATGTTTTCGAATTTTACAACCAGCTAAACGAGCAAACTAATTTGGTTTATGGTTTTTACACAGAATTGCAACAAGACGGCATCAAGACTATGATTGGTAATTGTGTTGCAAAATTAAAGCTAAGGATTTTGCCTCAGGGCGTGATTTTGCTTGTCTGCTTGAAAGAATTGTGCGACTTCAAACTATTAATCCTGATCAATATAGAGACATTTTTATTCCAGGATTCACTTAACGAGGATAAATTGAAATAAAGATGTATTTGTTGGAAGTCAGTTGTGATTAAATTTGATTTGATTATTGCTGTAAACGATCTGTTTCAACTAATGATTGTGAAAATTACTGCATGTTTTAGTTCAAATGACTGTAGGTCTGCTGAGCTATAGGGATGTTGCTATGTCCAAAGTCTGGAGTTTTTTGGTAAAATATTTATGTAAAAAAGTCTATTTTCAACTAGTTTGTAAAAACAACTAGCAGAATTGTTTTGATACTTGGTATGTAGGTGCATTGGGTGGACTTCAAATAGTTTTTTTCATTTCATGGCGATTCTCGTTTTTTAGCAAATATTTTTGTCATTTTGGTAAAAAATGCTATTTTTTGAGAACTACCAACTCAAATGCTTTGATACTTGGTATGAAAGTATATATATATATATATATATATATATATATATCACCATACAAAACATTATCATTGTTTTGAGCAATTCAAGGAAACTAACAGTGAAATTGTGAACAAACAGTTACCGACCTCACCTGCACTAAAATAACTGTAAGCTGACAGAATAATGAACTCACAGTAAGTCCTAAATCGCCCACCCCATCCCACCCCTAACGCATAAGAATTGCAAAAATCACAAAACAGACATTCTGAAAAAAAATATTTTCATACAAATATGTTCTTATATTTCAGGTTATCCAAAATGGACAGTCACCTACAAGATCATTTATCTACAGCTGCTGTTACCACTTACCTGTCAACCATTCTTCAACAAGTTGGCACAAACATGGACGATGTGATGCTTATATTGACAAGTCTGCAGTACTAAACAGTTATGATTAGACTCAATGTACGAAAAACAATGAATGTTACATTTTTATTCTGCTCAGACTTTGGCACAACATTTTACACTTTTTATTGTATTTTTCCGTAATTTCTTTGTTAATTTTCAAACAAAAATTGGACAGAATTTTCCATCAATAATCATCATAATTCATATAAAATCATTACTTTTAAATTTGTTCTCTGTGTCAGAGAAAACTTGATCATTGGATTCATTGTCAAAGGATTTTGTGCTGAAGTCATGGGAAATGTTTTCTGTTAAGTTTTATAAAACAGCTTGTTTTACCATGTCAGTCAACCACAATTAAATCAAAGTTGAACAGCTTAAAAGCACAATATTTTTCGTATTTATAAAAACTAGTAAATTGGACATTTTTGTACATGTATCACAATAAATTATAGAAAGTTTAATTTTTGTTTCCGAAAATACAATTTCTTTAAGTGCAGGATGAAATAGTGTGAAATAAAAATCTGAGGGTTTGTGCTGAGAAGCCATATTACCGAGTTTTCTTTCTTTCAAGAAATCACTTCTAGACTGGGACTATTGTATCATTTACAATAACATGTATTAAAATAATAAATAATAGTCAGAGAAGGTCTTCAGAACCAATCAGCTGTTATTACTGAATCACTACTGCATGCTGGGATGGATGTGTGTCTGTATAATAAATAGTGAGATGGGTCCCAAAGAATGAACAGTCACAATAATTTGCACCAACCAGGATCTAGTACATTACCTGGTACATTGTTTGTGCCAACCAGGATCTAGTATATTACCTGGTACATTGTTTGTATCAACCAGGATCTAGTACATTACCTGGTGCATTGTTTGTACCAATCAGGATCTAGTACATGATCTGGTACATTGTTAGTACCAACCAGGATCTAGTACATTACCTGGTGCATTGTTTGTACCAATCAGGATCTAGTACATGATCTGGTACATTGTTTGTACCAACCAGGATTTAGTACATTACCTGGTACAATGTTTGTATCAACCAAGATCTAGTACATTACCTGGTACATTGTTTGTACCAACCAGGATCTAGTACATGATCTGGTACATTGTTAGTACCAACCAGGATCTAGTACATTACCTGGTGCATTGTTTGTACCTTCCAAGATCTAGTACATTACCTGGTGCATTGTTTGTACCAACCAGGATCTAGTACATTACCTGGTACATTGTTTGTACCAACCAAGATCTAGTACATGATCTGGTACATTGTTAGTACCAACCAGGATCTAGTACATTACCTGGTGCATTGTTTGTACCAACCAGGATCTAGTACATTACCTGGTACAATGTTTGTATCAACCAAGATCTAGTACATTACCTGGTGCATTGTTTGTACCAATCAGGATCTAGTACATGATCTGGTACATTGTTCGTACCAACCGGGATCTAGTACATTACCTAGTGCATTGTTTGTACC